CATGGCAGATCCAGCTCCCCCCACCCTGATCTGCAGCAGGGTGCTGGAAAGATACAACTAGGGAGGAACCGTGCACAAATAATTTGCCAAACAGAGCACTCTTCATTCCAATCAACTTTCACACAGTTTACCTGTTCAAGTGGATGCAACTTACCAAAAAAAAAAAATGTAATGTGGGAAACAACCCACACAGAGAGTATACCCAAATGTATTTCTATTGTCAAGTATGGTGGCTTGATTCCATAGAAAACGGCACTAGTTCAACACACACAAGTATGCTTTGGAATTGTGTTACTCAAGTATCAATGCTTTCCTTCCCTATTTATATATTTCATTGTTTATTTTTCATTTATATTTCATTTATATTATCACATAAACAATCACCTTTGAAAACAAGGAGACTTTCAAAAACTATTGATATAAGATTGCTGCCATGATTAGCCATACCTCCCAGCACCCCATTGTTGGAAAGCCTGGTTTTTGGACCACAATGGCTAAACTGCCTTGCTCTGAAACTAAAGTGAAGAATTTAAGATCAGACTAAGAGTGATTAAGAGGTTACTGCAAGAGGAAGTAGTCTGGTTCCCATGGGAGCTCCAATAGACTCTTGCCAAAGGCTGTATTCGGTGCCCTCTGAGATTTATCAGCTTTCTGGCTCTGATTAAAAACTGGGGCTTGCAGGACAATAACCTACACACATCTCAGGAATCTCCCTTTCAATGCAGACTTCCCTGGACACCTAATCAAAAGGGTCATATACCCATCTCCTGACCTATTGTTGCCAAGTATCTGTCATACCTGCCCCTAGGTAATTCAACAATCTTAGCCAGGCCCATCTCTCATTCCTATTGCTCTTTCTGTTGCCACATTGTTCCTTCCCTGTCTTGCGCTATCTGATTACACTGTTTTATATTCTGTAATCTGCCTTGCATCTCAGAGAAAAAGATAGGCTATAAATAAAAAGACATGGCAAGAAGAAAGAAAAATTATTTACTTTTGTTTAAAAAGGAAAAAAACCCATCAACACATGCACATAATTGAAATATATTCAAGCATATTCTGGAAAAAGCGAAGAATGCTTCACCTGCTGAAACCAATAATTTACAGTGGAATCCTAAACAGAGTCTTCTTCTAAATTCACTGAGCTTAGTGGATGTAATTGTGTCTGGCTTTTACTGTTAGCACAGGACTTTTTTAAAAAGGTTTTTATTGAAAATTTAACATCAGATACAGTGACAATAAACTGTCATAAACATATGTAATCATAGTAAATAATCAAACACACTTCTGATCAAAAAGGTCTTTGTTTTGAACAATAACATTTAAAACAGGGTACCAAAAATTATAATAATCAAGAGAGGCAGAGTAGGAGTCTTTATCTGAGGTTTGTATCAGTATCCTTTCCATTGTGAGATAATTCCATATGTTCTTGTACCAACTCTTAAGAATTGGTGGTGAGGGAGACTTCTAGGGCTAATGCTTCAGGCACCTGGGTTCAGCCCTACTTAGCCATGAAACTCACTGGATGACCTTGGACCAGTCATTTTCTCTCTTACACATCTTGGCTTACCTCACAGAGCTGGTGTGAGGACAAAATGGAGGAGGGGAGAGCCAAGTATGCCACCCTTGGCCCTTGGAGGAAGGACAGGATAAAAATGATTAGACAGATGGAACAAAATATTACAGTCTTAGGCAAACTTATTTCTTTACAAACCTGATTTTATTAATTTTATAGTTACCTTCCATGGTAATTATTTTGTTGCAATTATTGTAGGACTTTATTTTGTGAGCCACATTGACAGCCCCTTTGGGGCAAAAAGGTGAGATACAAACTATTCTTTAAATAGGCAAAAGTATATTCATAATGATCAAACCAGTACTAAAATGTTTCACTGAGGCCCCGGGCACACGGGCCGGCTGAAACGCGGCTACTCCGAGCCGCTCCAAACTTGAGACGCCGCGGCGGGATCCCACGGATCCCCTAGCCGCGGGGCAGCACTCCCCGGCACGCTCAGATGCCGGGGAGGAAAAGTCCGAGGGGAGGGGGGAGGCTGCCGAACTGCGCATGCTCGGGCATGCACAGTACGGCTGGGGGCCGGGATGCGGCGGCGCAAGGACGCGCCGCCGATCCCACAGCCCTGCCTGCGCCGCACCAATGGATGCAACCACCTAGAGAGGTGGTTGTTTTTTGCGGCGCAGTTTGGGCCGTTGGGACGGATCAGGGACGGAGACGGCACGCTCGCCAGATGTTGAGGTGAGATCGCGCCTGTTTGCTCCGCCCCAGTTCCGTCCCGCTCCCGGCCCAAATGGGCTCGTATGAACGGGGCCTGAGTTTGACAACCTACACAGAGCAATTCTGTGATACCAGTTATGAAAAATATGCCATAAAAGCATTCCATTCCCAAAATTTCTATTAATTATCTTTACACACATTACTGGATTAGGAATGCAGATGTAACAGATTTGTGGGGGATCTCTCTTCCCTCCACGTTTTTGCAATATTAATACTAGCTGTGATATATTTATGTAGACTCTGGAATATACTGAAGCTTCCAGGCACCCTAGAAACCAAGCAAGAGGATCTATTTGTAGCTGAAATCTAGTAATATTATATTAGTCTTATTGATACTAAGAGGCCACCCATGAAGTTCAATTACATTAGTGGAATCTTCAAGTGGACAATCTCATTGCTGTTAGGCAGAATAAAGAAATTCAAATGTAAAGTCCCAAAATTCCAAAGCTACTTCAGCAGGGCTCTATAAAACTATGATTCTCCCCCCTACAGAAATAGCATAAACTCTTTCTTTAATATTTCTTTGTCACTTGCTTATTCAATACTATTGTATTTGGTCTGGACAAGCCCACGTTCAAGAGTTCACAGAACTAAATCTTGTTACCTCATTATGAAGTGTCCTAAAAACCCAGCAGGGCAGTAAATACCAGAGACAATGGGTTGAATCTTACCCCTCTGCTCAGGTAAGCATGAAGCCTTCCTCCAGCAAAAGAGGTTCTTCCTTTAGTGGAAGGCTGAAGGAAAAAAAGGTCCAAACATACCTGACCAGAGGGAATGCTACAACCCAGTAAGTGCAGGAACAGGAACCAAGGTTCACAAATATTTAAACTGAAGCAAGGCTATTTCCATTTCTCCCAGTGTGTGAAGCTACAAGGAAATCAATAATGATTTTATCTTAATCAAAGTTTTGGAAAGGATGATGCAAACAAGAAAGAATTCCCTATGTACTAAACAACCTGAAAAGACTATACATTTTCTCCTATATAATATTGGTACTTACTTAGCACTGCCTGAAGTAGGTAAACAAAGAGTATATATTTCCCATAACCTAATGAAAGATTTAATAGCATATTTATAACACAATTCATAGAATCCATTCAGACAAACAGTGATGGCATTGAAAGTTCTAAATTTAGCCAACAGTTACTAAGAATTCCCAAGAAGGTTTCACAAGGGGTTGAGAAAATTTTGTTCATCCCAGGGATCAACTGGCATTGTGAACGACATAGCACAAGAAATTTAAGAAAATTTTCCAATTCATTGTCAAGATAAAAAGGGGTGGGGTAGATGGACATATTAGTATGAAGATTGGCAACTGCTGGTAAATACTTGCAACATGGATGATGCATGTGTATTCTCAGAAAAACCCTTACAATAAGCCTGCATGGTAAGATATTATCATTCCCATATTAAGGATGGGAATGTTCTCTGCTTAAGGTGACATTTGAATTGTGACACATGGGCTTACTTTCTCAGAGATTCTGCATACATTCTATTGAGGGAAATAGGTCTGCTTTATTGAAATACAGTAGCATGTAGCCAAATTTTGTTCTGCATAAAGGGTATGATGGGGTTATAAAACAGGAACCCCATGACATCTTAAAAAAACTAATAATATGGATTTTGTTCATGTTATTTGGGGGTTAAATATTAATGAATGTTAACAGTATGTTATTCTACAATGGGTCACAGATAGCTTTTCTGGGTGAAAAAAGTAAATAATTTACATTCACAGTCCTCCTTATCATATGTACCATAAAAATATACAGACCAAGAATCACCTATGGACAGATTAGTGGGTTTGGGGCTTTTTCTTCTACGATAATTATTTGGTGTCACTAATAACACAGTGTAGACAATTGTCACTGCTCCTCAAAGACAAGCAACTGGAATTAATTTCTGATCATAAAATGCATTAAATGATGCTTAACTCTGGTACATGGTTAACCGGCCAATCACACCTGTAAAGTTTACTACATGTATAAAAATGTTCAGGATCACAGCCACAAATAAAACAGCAAAGCCAAGTTTTAGGCTAGAAAAACCATCAGTGTTCTGGGGAAAGTAAATATGAGCATAGATTATGGGTTAACTTGATGCTTTAGGTCACCAGCGTCACATAAACTTTTGTGGCCTGTTTTAACACCACATGTGTTATTTTAAGTAAACATGTGAAAATATTTATTACGCTAGGCTTCGCTTAAGCTGACATAAATTCTGATATTAGCCCCATATAATTTTACAACGTGTGTGGGTTTTAACAGCATGTACAAAACTTGTAAAAGGCACCAAACACTAGTCATAATCATTTCCTTCTACAAGGGTATTGATCAACAACACCTTGGAGCATGCCAATACATACTCCAGGTGAGGAATCACAGAACTGTCAAGCATGGAAGGTACATGCCCCCACCCCAATACACCAAAGTAATAACTCACAAAATTGCAGGGTTTTGTACCTACCAACTCTCTCCTCCAATGCTACCACATGCCACCATTTCCGGGTGCTCATAAATTTGTTCCAACTATTAGCCCCGACCCTGATTCACAAAATCCTCGTGAGGTGACAAACGGGAGAGGAGGGGAAACCAGCAGCAACACTGTCTGTCCCCCCTGGTTTTAAAGGAGGCCTGACCATGGTCGTGGCAAATATGTTGCAAGCCAGTTCGAGCAACCCAGCACAGTGACACCCGCCCGAGAGCCTTACCCATTGCAATGCTGCCTGCATACACCTTCCTTTGCTTAGGCAGCAAGTTGACGGAGGCTCTGAGCATTAGCGCTGCTGCCATGCTGCTTCCCCGCCTCCAACACCACGACCTCCGCTTAGACACCACCTCCTTCGCTCTCTGCGCTTCGCTCGCCTGGGAGCACGGAAGGAGGCGTGGAAGGGGAGGGGCGGCCAAGCCAGCCAACCACGGCTGCCACTGGAAGCCAAACACCAATCAGAGCGGACGTTCTCCTATCGGTGACCTGCCGGGCTTACACCCCAGGACCCAATGATAGGCGACAGCGGCAGCTCTGGCAAAGATCGTTCAGCCAGGGTCTTTCCTGGGCGGCTTCTGCAGAATGCGTATGGTGGTGGGGGGTGCTGGTTTATGCATCGGCTTTCTTCATCCGCCTCATCCTTCCTTGTTAGCCGGGGTCCTTTTTAAATTGTAAAATCTGCTTCAAAAAATCTCACGACGAGGCATGTGAGAATAAAGCTGCCAAAAAGATTTTTAGCTTATTCTGAAACCCTGTGTACGCCCACTTGATTCAGTGTGGAATACTTCCAAGCAAACGTAGATGAGATCGAGTAGCCTGTTTTCGTGTTTCTGCTGTCAGCGTCTGCTTTCCTTGTAAGACTTCAGCTGGATCTGGCTGTGTTTAGTTTAGGTGACTTCGAGAACTGCCTTAATAGATCTATTCGGAAGTAAGTCTCGTGGTATTCAATGCGGCTTCCTCCCAGAAAAGTGTGCTGAGGATTGCAGCCTACTAAAACTGATATTTCTATAAGAAGAAGAGAAGAGATTGGATTTATACCCCGCCCTTCACTACCCGAAGGAGTCTAAGAGCCGCTTATAATCTCCTTTCCCTTCTCCTCCCCACAACAGACACCCTGTGAGCAATGCTCCCTCTAAGCCGTGGAGTCTTGTGAGCAAAAATTCTACTTTGTGAGCTGCTGGCATTACAGTTGCGAGTGAGCGATTCGGCTACTGCATCAATTAGTTTGCTCTGGAGCCCTCCTTCCTGAGCTGAGACAAAAATGTGTGAGCTGGAGGCTAAAAAACTGAGGTAGCTCACACTAACTCAGTTTAGAGGGAACACTGCCTGTGAGGTAGGTGGGGCTGAGAGAGCTGAAATGTCCTTGAGAGAACAGCTCTGAAGAAACTTATGACTGGCCCAAAGTCACACCAGCTGCTGCATGTGGAGAGGTGAGGAATCAAACCCAGTTCTCCCAGATTAGAGTCCATGCTCCTAACCACTACACCAAACTGCCTCTCAATATTTCAGTTTTCAAAGACTTCTTTAATAGGACATTCACCAGCATGATCCCAGCCTTCTGAATGAGTCAAAATATTATCAAAATCCTCACAATACAAACTGGAAAGAAATGTTAGGGTCTTGTGCTTATGCAATTTAAAAGTTCAATGAGGCCTATTTTGAAGATTTCATACCGAAATACTAGGGTTTTGTGACCTGTACAATTCTGATTGTGAGGGTTTGAAAACAATAGCTACAAATACATAGATTAATGGGCAAATTTTATTTTAAATTTCCATAGTAATCTCTTGCTGCATTGAGACAGAATACAATGGCTTGTGATGAACTAGCATAGAGGTTGGTATGCTATGTTTGAGTTATTAATTACTTTGTGAAGGTCTTGCTGGCCTTCTGTTAATAAGTAAGCAGACATGAAAGCTTACCAATGCGTTTAATTGTACTTACCTAAAATGCTCCGAAATAGTTAACTAAGCAGCAGTACTGATAGAGTTATCACAAATGAACAGATTTCTGTGTGTTTTCAGAAAAGCTTGTTTTTTTAAAAAATGTTAACAGGTGCATTAACTGCTGGTTCTGGATACCATATTTATATACACCGTAACATTTTTGTATCCTCTGTATTAAATGTATAGGTGCTTATAAGATTTAAAATGACTTTCAGTTTGAAAGCAAAGGCTAAGAACGTCTGTAAAAGGAGACTTCAAAATACCCATAAGCGCTTTCTTAAAATGCAAGATTACGATGCAAAATGCATCACAAGAGTGAACTGTTAACAAGCATTACTTTGCCAGTAGCAGGACTCCTGCCAACCTTTAATTGGCTTGAAAGCTATTCTTCTGTCAATGGGGCATTGTGTCTTCAAGGCAATCATACTAACTTTATGGTTTGGGGGTTCAAAAATACACACAACAAAAGCTTGTTTAAATGTAATATGTACCAAATGTCCTCTACTACTTTCCCCTATTTTGTCATTTTAAATAAAATCACCAATTGGCAGTGATGAGGAATGTTGATGTTCATATTGCCTACAGGAGGGATACTTCTAATAAGTATGCAATACCATTCTGTTGAATTAAACATTTTGAAAATGTGATTCTGGTCGATTCAGTTATTAGTCTGAGTCAAATATCTAAACACAATGGATTAAATCCTGTGCATTTTTACTCAGCAGAAAATCTCACTTTCTTTCAAGTAAGTGTGTTTTACCATTGCATTCTTTGGCTTGTGAACACACGAGCTTGCTACCCAAACAAAATCTGAAACAATTGTTTGTGGGTACTGCGAATTTAAGAAGTTGGACGAAATATCCACTTTTTTGTTTGTTATGGGAGGGAGCCCTTATACCTAGGGCTGCCAAGTGGGGGCGGGTGGCGGGTAAACCCCCGCCCCCAAAGCACGCGCCGTGCATGTCACCCGGAAATGATGCGACCATGCCGGGCACGCTGGGGGTGGGGCCATGGTCATCAGAGGGAAAACTGTATGGTTTTCCCTTGGATGGTCGTGGCCCCACCCCCAGCGTGCCCGGCGTGGTCGCGTCACTTCCGGGTGACGCGCGCGCACTCTCCCAAGGCAGCGCTGGAGTCCCCCGCTCCAGCTCCACTTTTGACTTGGCAACCCTACTGTAGAAGAACATTTTAGCCTCCCAGGAAACTCAGTGGAGGGCTCAAAACTGCTATTTTATTGCAAAGGAATTTTAGAAACAGACTGGAATGGGAGACTGCTCAAATACTACTACTCCCACGGCTTAACAGCGATATCAGCTTCTTATCTCACTACACATGCTAAGTCCCTCAGTTTTCTCTTATACCCAGAATTAAACTTTGTTTGTCTAAAAAGTGCCACTGCACTCAAACTTAGTTCTCACATCTGTTGTTAACTCTTTTATTATCAGTATGCCAATTTGCTGCTATGCACAGGTCTTTCCAAATGCATTATTCTAATCTTAGCTATACTTATTGCTTAGTCTAATTAGCCCTTCTTGGCAACTAACCCCCCCCCCCATATGTAACATTTGAGGAAATCTGTTTCAATGTATCTCAGAACTGTGCATCTACACATGCGAAGTCTCTCAGTTCTTGCTTATAACCATAATTGACTTTTGTTGTTCTTGGAGGTGCCACTGGACTTAAACTCAGTTTTCACATCTGTTTGTTCACTCTTGTATTTGTACATTAATTTACTGCTATCCAGAGTTCTTACCAACCACTTTAATCCAATCTCAGCTATAATCACCCAGTTATTTATGCATCTTGACTCTAATTAGCCCTTCCTAGCAACTAACCCCCCCATATGTAATGGCTGAGGGCATCTTGGTCTTGTGTCATTGTATCTGAAAAAGTATGCATGCAACGAAAGCTTATACCATAAATAAAACTTTGTTGATCTTAAAGGTGCCCCTGGACTCAAACTTTCTTCTGCTGCTTCAGATCAACATGGCTACCCCCCTGAATCTGATTCTAATACTGTAAAGCTGTAAATCATTAGTTGTCCAAATCTAAAACTAGCTCTGCTCCCAAAGAAGAGTTGATGACTGGTTCTTATGAAAATGCAGTATAATCAGATGCAAGATTATCACAAGAATGCAGAACAGCCAGATCACTGTCATAAGCAGAGAGATCAGGGGAAATGTTTAGGACTGGGGGAGCAAGAGCAGAACTACAGTTTACTCTTTGCAGACTTTTGTTTTTTTGTGGATGGCATTTGTGGGGTCTGCAAAATGAAGTGGTGGAGCAGAATGGATGCACATGACAGAAGTAATAGCCTGGGTCTTGGGTGAGACATAACAATGTCACACATGAGTTGTGCATTCTCCTCCATTCCCAATGCATCTGGTGCCTGATTAGGGTCAAAACCCCCATGCAAATGGAGAAGAGGCCTCAGACAACCCCCTTGGACCATTTCCCCAACCTGAAGAGTCCTGGAGGGAAGCACTATGTTGAGGAACCCAAACATTATTTGGGATACACGAGTTTCCCCAACAGGCCCAGTAGCACACCTTGGGACTGTTTCAGGCTATGGAAATGGTGCCGGGGTGGGCGAGGCTCATGCCCCTTTTTCATAGGTACCTGATTCTAATCAGGCACAGCACACACAAGAACCCAGAACTCCCTTGTGACTGTGTTACATCTCTTATATTATGGGGACACAAACCTAAGCTGGTTACTCTGTAATGTTTATCTGGGAAATGGAAATGGTGAATCTGTCTGAAGAACAATTTAATAAAACATAAAAAGAAGAAATATATGTTCTGAAAATAATCACAACAAAAAGGCAATGGTCAGAAATTCCTGTTCTTTCAGAATGGTGGTGATGGAAAGGGCCCTCAAGTCACAACTGACTTCTGGGCAATCCCATAAGGTTTTCAAGGCAAGAGGCATTCAGAGGTGGTTTGCCATGGCCTGCCTCTGCATAGCAATCCTGGACTTAACCAAGCTAACCTGGCTTAGCTTCCAAGATTTCACAAGATCAGGTTAGCCTCCAGGTGACCGCATCCAACCATAGCCTAGCAAAGCAGCAGCAACAGATCACCGAGCTGGTGAAAAAGTCAATCCAAACAGAGGAAAGACTTAAAGAGACAGCTCACGATGCCAAGAAAGTCAAAAAGAAAGTTGGTGTGCTTGAGCAAAGGCAAGATCTACAGGAACGTAGATTGTTGAACCTACAGATGGAAAAAGCAAACAAAACACTCAGATTCCAGGGAATAGCTGAATCATCAGGAGAAAACTTGAAAAAGATGATGGCAGAACTCATCGCTCCGGCGCTGGGGTGCATAGCGGCAGAAGCGGAAGCGGAAATTGAGACGATTTATCGATCTTACTCTAAATATATAAAAAGAAATAACCTGCCGGGTGAAATAGTCGTCAAGTTTCTCCGAAGACAGTCGCGGGACGAAGTCCTGAAATCAACAGCAGTTAATCCCCTGCAGCTGGGCTCTACAACCATCAGAGTTTTAAAAGACGTTCCATTTGAGGTTCGAGAAAAGCGGAAAGCCTACAAAGAGCTGATTTCAACGTTGCAGATCAACCAGATCCCATACTCTTGGGTGTTCCCGGAAGGGGTCGTGTTCAAGTACAGAGACAAAAGGGAAAAACTGGATTCGGTGTTTAAAGCAGAAGAATGGTTGAAGCGGTTTTTTGGATCGAAAGAAGAAGAACAGCAAGAAGGAGGAGGAGGTCCAGAAACCATAGAAGAAGGAGACGGAGACCAAGGAGCATCGGGCGTTGAGGCCAAAGAAGCATACGATTTGCGGCAGAGAAAACCAAAGTAACTCTTTAAAAAGCCAGGAGTTCGGCAAACAGAGATGAAGATGAAAGAACTCTGAGCACACACGAAGGATGAAGAGAATACTAATACTAACATGGACTTACTAATTTCCGAATACATTGACTTACACGAAGTTTTTTGTTTTGATTACTAACAGAATACTAACTGTTTATAACCCTCTCTCTTGGGGTTTTAGTTATAGTGTGGGTTTTTATTTGCTGTCCTTTTTCCCGGGGTAATTTTTCCCTCCCCCTTTTCTTTTCTGTAGTGTCTAGGTGTAACTAAAAACTAATAAAGCTACCCTGCTTTCAGGGGATTTTTTTAAAAAAAGATCAGGTTAGCCTCAGCCATTCAAATCAGGGCTCTTACAGAATAGCTTCCAGCAAATATGACATCAGCAAGTCTTTCTTGCATGGGAAGGCTGGAGTTTAAAGAGAGGGAGGAGGTAGATCCCTGAAGTGTCTGTTTTAGGGGGCATGACCTCTGAGTGTGAAGAAATAGACTAGATATGTAAAGGGTAGTGCCTGGGTTGTTAAAGAAGTGGTTGCACAGACCCATGAGGATTGCTTTCTCAGAAGACCGTATTTTATCTCCCTTGGCCAGTATTAAATTGTGAAAACTGACAGTGGTTCCCCACACATAGCAATCGGCTAAAGCTGTAACTCTTGCCATTTATCTCTTAGGTGAAGGGCTCCCTGGGATCCTTGCAGATATAGATTGCAGTGTGTGCCAGAAGTTAAAAAAAATCTGCGTGCTATAAATAAGAAATGAAACACTCGCTCAGACATGGCACTCAGAGGTACACACATTAATTACGCACCAGAGAGGCAAACTCGTAGTGAGTTCAAGCACTTAACTCACTATTCTTGCTTATTAAAAAACATTCCATTGCTTTAACAATACAGTCATCCAACTGTGAAATAACAGCAACTGTGAAATAACAGCAATTGAGATGTGGTCACTGACAGAAAATTCTTATGCCCATTGTACAGTGCAAGGCTGCCAAGTTTCACACCTTAGAAGAGGGGTCTTCCCCCCCCCTTCACCCTCCCTCGCATATACACATGCACGCACACACACAATTAACATGTCTGCTCTCACCTATGGTCTTATGGGAAAAGTAACCTGCTTCCTCAGTCTCACTCTTACTGATTTAAATACCCTGGCAACCTTTGAAAAGTTTCAGTTCTTCAATTCCAATTAAGGGTTGGCAAAGAAATCCAAAATACACATAGGACTTTTGACAGAGAAGGCAATTCTAGCAATAAGTTATTTCTAATATATTCCAAAGGGACGGCTTAGAGATATCTAAACACCATGATTAGTTTTAGCGCTCAGGAATAAAACATTATCAAATGAAGTACAGCAGGAATATAATTTATAATGGAGAATTAGTGCAGAGTGCTCTAATAATGAATTTTCTGGTATATAGTTTATAGTAAGAAGTTATTTACAATGTATATAGTACAGTATGAGAAACTGCTCGTTTGGTTATGGCTGAAATATGCACTTTTCACATTTCATAGAAGCCTTGGGTTCTTCTGAAGGACTGATGAAGTAGAGGGGATGAGTCCTATCCAAGTGCTGCTGCAGGCTGTTATACTGTGTAGAAGAAGAAGGTTTTTATTGTATTTAGCCATAGGCCATTACAAACTACAAACAGAAAAGAATGCAATAAAACATAGAAAATTGTATAAAATAAGATACAGTCTAAAACATTATAAATCTATAAAACCGAAGTTATAAACAATTAATTAATTCACAACATACCCACTAAAATCAGTATTAGCTAGGAACAGCGTTGGCCCGTATTTTCCTTGCAGCCAAGGCGAATAGAGCCATTCTATTGGATACATCGGCATTGGCATCGGCTAACAAAAATATAATCTTCTCTGGGACTGAGTAAAAGCTTAAAACTGGTAAAATACCAGATAAAAATTTTGACCTAGGCTGGGAATACAATGGGCAATCAAAAATGTAATGGGAGAGATCCTCAGTAGCAGAAGAGCCACAAATACATACGCTGCGCCTTGGGTGTTCTACTATAGCCCGCATTGCGGGGAGGGCGGGGTATAAATTGAATTAATTAAATTAAATTAAATTAAATAGCGGCTGACCAATACGGCCGTAGGCATTGATTACTGTTCTACTGCCCGACCCTTTAGCAAGCAGGACTCTAAGCCCTTTCATTGTGGAGATATAAGGGGAAAGGCAAGGCATAGCTCTGCAACAAAAGGGTCCACAGACTTACTTTTGTAAAAAAATGAAAGCTGGGAATTCAGTGTTATCATTATGTAATTGCCAATTTACAAAAAAAAAAAACACCCTGAAAAATCCCTGATTGCTGGAGTGGGTTGGCTGTAGCTCGGGGACTGAGACAGGCAGAGTATGGGGAAATCTGCCACATGGAAACCCTGTTGTCTCTGTGGTTCATTGGCAGCCAGAACAGCAACAGGACTTCTCCACATGGACAACACCTTACTCAGCAAGGACAACCTCTGTGCTCCCAGTGTGTAGCTGAAAGAGAACACTTTCATTTTTGTTTTACCATTTCTAATAGGACCTTTCCAACTGGAAAGTGTTTTACAAATATAATCTGTGTGTAATTTATCATTCTGAGTATTCCTGTAATTTACTAGGCTGCAGGCTACTGTGACAAAATAGTATGGATTTACAAAATACCTTATATTGTGTGAAGGGAAATACATTTTTTACCTATCAGTTCTATAAGAAACCAAGGCTAGTTACAATTTCCTATGCATGCAATCAAAAAAGAGATGGGCGTCCCTGTAATACCTTATGAGCTTTCTCTCAAATGTGCACATGTTGGGTATATATGGATTTCACAAGGTGAGATGTGGTAAGCAGGGGTCATTTCCTAGGGGAACGCACAGGAACAGAGCTCCGGCAGTAAGGAGCCCAGGGGGCGGGCACATGCAACAAGCCCCACCCCTGCTCCCAGCAGCCGTGAGGAGGAAGAGGCAGCCAGGTAAGTTGCAGAGCCCCCCCCCCAGCCCACCTTCAGGTACAAGCTCTCCCTCCTCTGCGAGGGCAGATCTGGCATGTCCCCCCCTCAATAGCTAGCAATACAAAACAGTCCAGTGGAGCCTGAGTGGTGGGTATTGCCTTCTGACACACTTCCGGTGATGTCAGGGGGTGGTGGTGGCATATGCAAATAAGTTATGCTAATGAGTTGTGCTAAAGAGCTCCTGCACCTCTTTTTCTACTAAATGACCCCTGGTGGTAAGTATCCTGCAGGCATTCCTCCAGCAAGCTTTACAGCCACAAAAGGATTTGAACCTGTTGTTGTGCTTGTTCAGTCGCACAGTTGAGTCCAACTCGTCATGAACCACCACATCACATCAGGCCCTCCTGTCTTCCGCCATCCTCCAGAGTTTGCTTTTATTTCATGTTGGTTGCATTGATAACACTGTCTATCCTGGGTCTCTCCCAAATTTTTGTCCACTGCTTCATACACAGCGCCTTGGCACTAACATGTTAATGCAGTTGATATGTAATAGTTGAGAATTATAGGTCTTTCAATGTGTATGGTTGTGGTAAGAAATTTGCAAACTCATGTTTTCTCAGAAAGGTACTTCACAGGGCTATTTTTGGGCAGGAAAGCACAGGAACTGAGTTCCTGCTGGCTCCCGAGTTGGCCACGCCCAGCAGGAACTAATTAGCATAATAGGCCACACCCAACAGCAGACACTCATTAGGATTGGCTACATTAGGGGTGTGTGGCCTAACATGCAAAGGGTTCCTGCTACAAAAAAAGCCCTGGGTTTTGACAGCAAACAAGGTAAACAGAATAAGAAGCAAAAGGTGGGTGTGGCTGGATGACCATACTTCTAGTAATGTGGGGTGTGGCCTAATATGCTAATGAGCTGCTCTGTCAGGGGTGTGGCCCAATATGCTAATGAGTTCCTGCTGTTGGGTGTGACCTATTATGGTAATGAGTTCCTGCTGGGCTTTTTCTACAAAAAAAGCCCTGGACTACTTCACATGTTTAGGCTAAGAACATACCTGGCCAAGTTTGAAATAATTATATATGTTCCACTGGGTTACACACATGGTATGAGAGAGGAAATTGCTAGCTGCAACTCTCTGTCTGTACCCAGTGAACCAAGACCACATATAGTCATTTCAAATGTGACACAGTGCACTTATAACCAGTAATTTGTGAAGCAGCCAAATTTCCAGATTAAGGCAATAGGATTTATTTCCTGGTACACTGCTGACGACTAAAGGGCCCAGTCAAGCCACTTCTCAGAAGTTTGGTATTTTTAAAGTTACATATAGGCTAAAATTGAACTGGGAAAAGAAGCTGTAAGGAAATGTTGTAGCCCAATGGTATGATTTGATTAGATTTTTATCCCACCCTTCCTCCAAGACCTTGGAAGCGCATACATTGCTCCCCGCCCATCTCCAGGAATTTCCCAACCCCGGAGCTGCCAACCCTGAAAAGCGAGCAAAGAGAACAAAACGTCACTGGGCTCGCGGACGGCGCGTCAGACGCGCGCACTACTTCTCGCCTGTCACGTGGGAGGGAAAAGTCTCTCTCTCTGGGCCGGAACTGACGGGTAGGGGGCGGGTCCTGGGAGCTGATGGCGACTGCGGGCTGATGGTGTTGACGTCTCCTGAGCGTCCCAGGTAAGCGGCCTGCTCGCCTTGTGGCCCCGAGAGGCTGCCACAAATATCGAGGGTTTTCTCGCCTTTGGTCTTTTCTGCCATTGGTCGTGGCTGTCGTGGCGCGCCAGCCCTCTCCCCGTCCTCCGCCGGTGGGTCGGACTAACGTTTCTCTGCCGCAGTTGAGCGGAAGGAGAGGCGGCGAGGGAGCCCGTACAGAGGTGACCTGGGGCGGGGTATGGTAGGTGGGGCAGAGGCTTGGGGGTGTACGCGTGGGTGGGCGTCTCGAAGGTGGGGAGAGAGGAGAGCGCGAGAGAGGAGCGTTAAAGGGCCTGAAATTCCCTTTTTGTTTGCTATGCGGGGCCGTCACGCAGACTGCGAGGGAGCTAGGCCGGAAGAAGGGGCCGTCGGGGTGAGGAGCGGAAGTCGGGTGGGCCGCTAAAGCGAAGATGTTACAGGGCCCTTCTCGGAGCAGGACAAAGTCTCTTGAGACGTTCCGCCATGAGTGAGGCGTGTTGAATGTTTTCACTGCCTCTGGAACTACTTGGGAAATGTTTGAAGGAGGCTAACAGCGCCCTCCTAAGCAGGTAGTTTCAGGTGAGTAGTAGGTGTGTAGGTCTGCAGCAGACAAACTAGATTCGAGTCCAGTAGCACCTTAAAGACCAGCAAGATTTCCAGGGTATGAGCTTTCAGAAGTGTCTGACCGGGGGAACTTTGACTCTCAGGAGTTTGTACTCTAGAAATCTTGTTAGTCTGTACAGGACTCGAATCTAGGTATCCTAAGTAGAGTTACTCCCTTCTAAGCTGGTTGATGGTAATATAAAACTGATAGTTTGGTAGAGGGTTCCCCCATTGTTTAAGCAGGAACCAAGCTTTGAAGAGTGGAACAGGAAAATAAAGGAGTGCAATCCACGCCTCCTTGGTAACACTGTTCTCTAGGCTGCAGCTCAGCCACTCCCTTTAAATCTGCTCAGTGTGAGCTGGATAAACAAGAGGCCTTCTCTGTTCTGAACAGCTTTCACTTCAGCCTGCTCTAGCAGGCAGCTGCTTGCAGACTTTGGAGAGGGGTTTTTTTTGTGCTTATCAGACACAACAGTTGCAGGGTTTTTTTTTGCTGACATGTAGGAAGATTGTCTGTGACCCTGGCGTCTGTTTTATCTGTATAGGTTATGTTTTAAAAATTATTTGCTTAAGTTACATGAAAGGTTGCAGTCTATTTTGTAGAAAGAAGATCCAGGTATTCTGCAGCCTTTATTTGTGGATTGAGAGAATTGTCAAAGCTTCATACTAATAGAATTTTGAATAATATCAAGTGTTTTAATGTGAATGTCATGCAGTGCAGTCCTGTGTGTGTATTTGTGAATGTAAGTTAGCCTAAGCTATATTGAAACATCAGGGAATCTCTCCCTGTACCTTCTCATTAATCTTGTATCAGGTTGTCTTTCATTTATTATTTCAGTGTCCAATCCTTGATCTACACTTAGGATTTCTGTGGGCCTTCCATCTGATCCAGTAGGGCTGCTCTTGCATTGTTTGGATGGTAGGCAGTTAAAATTCCTGCTTTCAACACTGGCTTTTCCTTTCCCCCCTTCCTTTGCAGAGATTCATGGATTATGACCACTTCTGTAGTTTGGGAGGGCACAGGGCTTTTCAGTTTTCTTGCATATTTTGACATGGAAATCCTGTAAAGCTAAAAGGATTTGAAATGCAAGAGATCCAACCTCTGACATTTCTGTAACTCAAATTACATTAGAATAAGCACAGTGTAAATTAGCAACAGCTGTAACTAGTAGCCCAGTATTCCTATCTTTGCTGTGCGAATTTTGACATCTGTAGTGGGAGAGAAAATACTAATCTCTGTTGAATCCCATAAATAGATTTGTTGGAATTTTGCACAGGTTCTTCTTTGATTAAGAGTAGTGCTTTTCACAGACAGTGGTTTTCAGCTGCAGTGTTTCCTTGGAGACTGGAACTCACCAGTATCTTAATGTGGCCACTTGGATATCACACTTTGTGTCCCACTGTTGTTTTATATGGAGACTGATCTGTTCATCTTTTGTATACAGCAGAAGGACAGCTTACAGTATAAAGTGACTCCTGGGTACTATTATGGCCTTGTTACTGTGCCTTTACTTCACTGTACTTTTAAGAATACTAATTTCAATAATATGGTTTGGCTTTAGTTAATTGATTATATTGTGTGCTCTGAATGGAGAAGCATGTAGGTACCTACAGTGTATTGATATATATGAATAGCTGATGTTCTATAATTAAGGTTAAGGCAATATTCATTTGAAACTGTAGGAAAAGAATCTGGCAAATAATGTATAACTAATGCAATGTGAGTAACGTAATATGTGAAAATCCATTAACACACTACTGCAGGTGTCTATAAAGCAAACACTGCATGTTCCAGTTCAATATTGAGACCAGGGCCGGCTCGAGGTGTTTCTGCACCCTAGGCGAGGCTGCCTTGTGGTGCAGATGCCAACCTCTCGGTGGGGCCTGGAGACCTGGAGACCTCTGGAGCCAGCCACCCTTTTGCTACCATTGCCACCACCTCCCCCCCCCCCCCGGACCCAGCGAGTGCACCTCGCACATTCCTGCAGTGCCCTCCAAGATGGAAGAGAGATTTCTCTCACGCTCCGCTTCCAAAGGCAGTTTGGGAGGGAGGTGGGGGGGATCCTGTCTCCGGGCGGGGGATGCTCGCTGGATGCCTCTCCCCAATTAGCGAAGCGCTGACATTTGGAGAGCTGCTCGAGGGTTTTGGTGGGGGGGGAGGCACAGCTTGGCGCCCTATCCAGGGCCCGCCGCCCCATCTAGGGCCCAGTGCTCTAGGCGAATGCCTAGTTCGCCTAGTGGGTGAGCCGGCCCTGATTGAGACCATGTGAGAACTTACAATGCTGACAGGAATTCTAATGACACCCTAATATTTGCTGCTTTTCAACCAACCAGTCATTGTCCCCGGACTGCCTAGATTTGAAAATGACAGAGATGAACTTGGAGAAGTAGGCCTGGTCAGTCTTGTATGTGGATTCTGGTATTCCAGGCTAAGTAATGAATGCAGTTATATATTCCATACTTGCATTGGCTAGCATGGATCTCAGTGTCTGTTTTACATGCAAGCATGTACTGAAAGCGTGCATGGTGGGTGAAGGGAGAAATTTTATCACTAATATTGTAAAGAAAGATGTTTGGAGGAAATAATCATGTTGTCATTATGAACAATTGGCCTTGGGAGGGGGAGATGGGAGGACAATCTGCTGAAAATATTTGAAGAGGTTGCCGCAAGGCTCAGATACACAGGAATAACAGAAAAAAAGAAGAGAGAAACAAAGTCAGTGATATTTGTGAATCAGCTCTGTGGGTTTTACAAAACACTTTATACCCCACAAAATAAAGAGTAGAAAGTAGAATCTCTAGTCTGACCATTTTGTGTTCCTGCGTTCTGTGGATTGGAAAGTTGGAAGAATAAAATGATGCTGGAGGAAGTCTGTATTATAAAAAAAGGGGAAAATACCCAACCAAAAAAGATAGGATAAACTAAAGTTTGAGAAAACAAAGGAACCATATATGATACAATATACAAGAATGACCAATTCAGTTGTGTGTAAAGTAAAGGTAAAGGTTCCCTTGCTCAAAAGCCAGTCGAATCCGACTCTAGGGTTGCGGTGCTCATCTACGTTTCAAAGCCGAAGAGCCAGCGCTGTCCAAAGACATTTCCATGGTCATGTGGGCGGCATGACTAAACACCAAGGTGCACGGAACGCAGTTGTGTGTACACAGACAATAACAATTTAAGAACAGAATGTGGACTTCTACAGGCAATGAGACAAAGAAAAATACCCTGTATTTTTCAGCAGTCTTTATCAGCAGCTTACACAGTAAGCATAATTAGTACAGTCACATCCCCCTTAATACAGTAAAAAATCATAATAAAATACAAAGACCAGTTATATGACCCAATTAAAAATGTGCAAAAATGAAAAGGACTTTGCAACCAGTAAATAAAAAATAATCATAATATACATACTTGGAATGTTATGAATATATGTATGCATATGTAATGCATATATGTATGCATTACACTTTAGATTTTATGTGTTTTTAAACTGTTTAAGTACTTTTTATCTGAGGTGCCATGAGCCTGCTTCAGTGGGAAGGGCCGGGTATAAATCCAATAAATAAACTTCTTATAACAAAGCACCAGGCTTCAAAAATATTTATTATTACTGTGTAAGCCACTGATGAAGGCTGTTTGCCAAAATGTGTATGGCACTTTGTTTTGTCTCATTGTCTGTGGATGTTTGTATTTCAGTGTTGAATTGTTATCTCTGTAAGTGCTTTGTGCACACAATTGAATTGGACGTTATTTGTACACTAGTAAGTCTACCCATACCTCTATTTTCTAAAAGAGGCTCAGCAATGACCCCCTCCCCCATCTGGAATGGTGCAGAACGGAGGAATACAAATTGGTCTGACTAGAGGTTGCAAAGATTCCTTTCTGGTTTTGATTTCTATGGTTTTGATGTGCTATAATTTTTATTTAATTTATTTATTTAAATTTCTACCCCGCCCTCCCCACAAATGGGCTCAGGGCGGCTAACAAACAATGCACCATATCTGACTTAAGCCATAAACGTCTGTAAGATTTTTAAATACGGAACATGTTTTCTTATTGATTGTTACCAGGCGGGGGGTGGGATTGAAATACAGAGAGAAGCATGGGAATGCAGCCTTTGTTGTTGTTGTTCAGTCGCACAGTTGAGTCCAACTCTTCGCGACCCCATGGACCACATCACGCCAGGCCCTCCTGTCTTCTGTTGTCCTCTGGAGTTTGCTTAATTTCATGTTTGTTGCATTGAAATGCAGCCTACATCAGCACAATTCATAATATGTGTTTATAAATGCTGAAGTGAGAAATCTTTCTCTTTTCAAGGATTAATTTGGCTCTTAGGCATTTGGAGGGGGGAATGCAGTTAATACACAGCTCTCTCAAAAGCTTACCTCCAAAGCAGAAACATTCTATTTCATTTGAAGTCCTACTGGTCTCTTTCCAAGGAATTTCTCTCCTGCAGCCAAGCTGCCTGTGGCTTTTGCCAGTCTTACTTTCTCCTATCCATACATAATTATAGTCATAAATGTGCCTAAAGGTTATAAAGAATTCACATATATTCCTGTGTGTTTCATCTCTTATTCTTGCTTTTCTCATTAACTTTCTGTTTAAAAAGTTAACTTTTTTTCCAATTTAATATCACATGAATCTTTGCTGCTCCCAATAAATACTGGATAAATTGTGGTTATCTACGTGGACCTGCCTTTGAGGTTGACCCAGAAACTCCAGCTGGTATAGAATGCAGTGGCGCGGGTCCTTATGGGGCCCCTGTGTACAGCACACAACCATTCTGTGCCGCAAGAGCTGCACTGGCTTCTGGTGGCGCACTGGATCAAGTTCAAGGTTCTGGTGTTGACTTTCATGGCCCTTAATGGTCAGGGACCCATTTATCCTCGGGACTGCCTTTCCTGGTATACCCCCAGAAGAGCATTGCACTCAGCAGATCAGAACTTACTGGTGGTCCCCAGCCTTAGGGATATCCAGCTGTCCTGGGCCAGGGCGTTTTCTGTCCTGGCCCCAACCTGGTGGAACTCTCTGCCAAATAACATTCATGTCCTGCAGTATTCGATACAGTTCTGCAGGCTGTGTAAGGCAGAGATGTTCCACCAGGCAGTGATGCATTGTATTCTTGGTGCTGGGGGAGGGGGGGAAACAGTGGGAGGGCTTCTAGTGTCCTGGCCCCATTGATGGACCTCCTGATGGCACCTCGTATTTTTGGTTACTGTGTGACAGAATGTTGGACTGAATGGGCCATTGGCCTGATCAAACATTGGCTTCTCTTATGTTTTTATGGTTGAGGACAGCAACGGTCTCATCCTTCTGGCACTCCCATTCCCCCCCCCCCCATGTGGCAGTGGCACTACTGGAATTCTCTAGTGCCATCTTTTAGATTAATCGGTGTTTTTACTGTTTTAAACTGTTCTTAAATTATATATATTGTGAGTTTACTATGTTGTACACTGCTATGTTGTACACTAATTTTCATTCTTCCTTTCGAAAGGTAGCTCTGGTTGGTATACATCTTTCCCTTCCGTCTCATCATCCCATGTTTTATTGTCATAATAAAGCTGATGTAGAGTAGGCTGAATGATACTGC